GCAACAGTACCAGCAGCAACAGTACCAGCAGCAACAGTACCAGCAGCAACAGTACCAGCAGCCACAGTACCAGCAGCAACAGTACCAGCAGCAACAGTACAGCAGCACCAGCAGCAACAGTACCAGCAGCAACAGTACCAGCAGCACCAGCAGCAACAGTACCAGCAGCAACAGTACCAGCAGCACCAGCAGCAACAGTACCAGCAGCAACAGTACCAGCAGCAACAGTACCAGCAGCAACCAGCAGCAACAGTACCAGCAGCAACAGTACCAGCAGCAACAGTACCAGCAGCAACAGTACCAGCAGCACCAGCAGCAACAGTACCAGCAGCAACAGTACCAGCAGCACCAGCAGCAACAGTACCAGCAGCAACAGTACCAGCAGCACCAGCAGCAACAGTACCAGCAGCAACAGTACCAGCAGCACCAGCAGCAACAGTACCAGCAGCAACAGTACCAGCAGCAACAGTACCAGCAGCACCAGCAGCAACAGTACCAGCAGGCAACAGTACCAGCAGCAACAGTACCAGCAGCAACAGTACCAGCAGCACCAGCAGCAACAGTACCAGCAGCAACAGTACCAGCAGCACCAGCAGCAACAGTACCAGCAGCAACAGTACCAGCAGCACCAGCAGCAACAGTACCAGCAGCACCAGTCCAGCAACGTACAGCAGCAACAGTACCAGCAGCACCAGCAGCAACAGTACCAGCAGCAACAGTACCAGCAGCAACAGTACCAGCAGCAACAGTACCAGCAGCAACAGTACCAGCAGCAACAGTACCAGCAGCACCAGCAGCAACAGTACCAGCAGCAACAGTACCAGCAGCACCAGCAGCAACAGTACCAGCAGCAACAGCAGTACCAGCAGCAACAGTACCAGCAGCAACAGTACCAGCAGCAACAGTACCAGCAGCACCAGCAGCAACAGTACCAGCAGCAACAGTACCAGCAGCACCAGCAGCAACAGTACCAGCAGCAACAGTACCAGCAGCAACAGTACCAGCAGCACCAGCAGCAACAGTACCAGCAGCAACAGTACCAGCAGCAACAGTACCAGCAGCAACAGTACCAGCAGCAACAGTACCAGCAGCAACAGTACCAGAAGCACCAGCAGCAACAGTACCAGCAGCAACAGTACCAGCAGCACCAGCAAGCAACAGTACCAGCAGCAACAGTACAGCAGCAACAGTACCAGCAGCAACAGTACCAGCAGCAACAGTACCAGCAGCAACAGTACCAGCAGCACCAGCAGCAACAGTACCAGCAGCAACAGTACCAGCAGCAACAGTACCAGCAGCCACCAGCAGCAACAGTACCAGCAGCAACAGTACCAGCAGCAACAGTACCAGCAGCACCAGCAGCAACAGTACCAGCAGCAACAGTACCAGCAGCAACAGTACCAGCAGCAACAGTACCAGCAGCAACAGTACCAGCAGCACCAGCAGCAACAGTACCAGCAGCAACAGTACCAGCAGCAACAGTACCAGCAGCACCAGCAGCAACAGTACCAGCAGCAACAGTACCAGCAGCAACAGTACCAGCAGCAACAGTACCAGCAGCACCAGCAGCAACAGTACCAGCAGCAACAGTACCAGCAGCACCAGCAGCAACAGTACCAGCAGCAACAGTACCAGCAGCAACAGTACCAGCAGCAACAGTACCAGCAGCAACAGTACCAGCAGCAACAGTACCAGCAGCACCAGCAGCAACAGTACCAGCAGCAACAGTACCAGCAGCACCAGCAGCAACAGTACCAGCAGCAACAGTACCAGCAGCACCAGCAGCAACAGTACCAGCAGCAACAGTACCAGCAGCAACAGTACCAGCAGCACCAGCAGCAACAGTACCAGCAGCAACAGTACCAGCAGCAACAGTACCAGCAGCAACAGTACCAGCAGCACCAGCAGCAACAGTACCAGCAGCAACAGTACCAGCAGCACCAGCAGCAACAGTACCAGCAGCAACAGTACCAGCAGCACCAGCAGCAACAGTACCAGCAGCAACAGTACCAGCAGCAACAGTACCAGCAGCACCAGCAGCAACAGTACCAGCAGCAACAGTACCAGCAGCAACAGTACCAGCAGCACCAGCAGCAACAGTACCAGCAGCAACAGTACCAGCAGCAACAGTACCAGCAGCACCAGCAGCAACAGTACCAGCAGCAACAGTACCAGCAGCAACAGTACCAGCAGCAACAGTACCAGCAGCAACAGTACCAGCAGCACCAGCAGCAACAGTACCAGCAGCAACAGTACCAGCAGCAACAGTACCAGCAGCACCAGCAACAGTACCAGCAGCAACAGTACCAGCAGCAAGTCAGCACAGCAGCAACAGTACCAGCAGCAACAGTACCAGCAGCACCAGCAGCAACAGTACCAGCAGCAACAGTACCAGCAGCAACAGTACCAGCAGCAACAGTACCAGCAGCAACAGTACCAGCAGCAACAGTACCAGCAGCAACAGTACCAGCAGCAACAGTACCAGCAGCAACAGTACCAGCAGCACCAGCAGCAACAGTACCAGCAGCAACAGTACCAGCAGCACCAGCAGCAACAGTACCAGCAGCAACAGTACCAGCAGCAACAGTACCAGCAGCACCAGCAGCAACAGTACCAGCAGCAACAGTACCAGCAGCAACAGTACCAGCAGCAACAGTACCAGCAGCACCAGCAGCAACAGTACCAGCAGCAACAGTACCAGCAGCACCAGCAGCAACAGTACCAGCAGCAACAGTACCAGCAGCACCAGCAGCAACAGTACCAGCAGCAACAGTACCAGCAGCAACAGTACCAGCAGCACCAGCAGCAACAGTACCAGCAGCAACAGTACCAGCAGCAACAGTACCAGCAGCACCAGCAGCAACAGTACCAGCAGCAACAGTACCAGCAGCAACAGTACCAGCAGCAACAGTACCAGCAGCAACAGTACCAGCAGCACCAGCAGCAACAGTACCAGCAGCAACAGTACCAGCAGCAACAGTACCAGCAGCACCAGCAGCAACAGTACCAGCAGCAACAGTACCAGCAGCAACAGTACCAGCAGCACCAGCAGCAACAGTACCAGCAGCAACAGTACCAGCAGCAACAGTACCAGCAGCAACAGTACCAGCAGCAACAGTACCAGCAGCACCAGCAGCAACAGTACCAGCAGCAACAGTACCAGCAGCAACAGTACCAGCAGCACCAGCAGCAACAGTACCAGCAGCAACAGTACCAGCAGCAACAGTACCAGCAGCAACAGTACCAGCAGCAACAGTACCAGCAGCAACAGTACCAGCAGCAACAGTACCAGCAGCACCAGCAGCAACAGTACCAGCAGCAACAGTACCAGCAGCACCAGCAGCAACAGTACCAGCAGCAACAGTACCAGCAGCAACAGTACCAGCAGCAACAGTACCAGCAGCAACAGTACCAGCAGCAACAGTACCAGCAGCAACAGTACCAGCAGCAACAGTACCAGCAGCACCAGCAGCAACAGTACCAGCAGCAACAGTACCAGCAGCACCAGCAGCAACAGTACCAGCAGCAACAGTACCAGCAGCAACAGTACCAGCAGCAACAGTACCAGCAGCACCAGCAGCAACAGTACCAGCAGCAACAGTACCAGCAGCAACAGTACCAGCAGCACCAGCAGCAACAGTACCAGCAGCAACAGTACCAGCAGCAACAGTACCAGCAGCAACAGTACCAGCAGCACCAGCAGCAACAGTACCAGCAGCAACAGTACCAGCAGCACCAGCAGCAACAGTACCAGCAGCACCAGTACCAGCAGCAACCAGTACCAGCAGCACCAGCAGCAACAGTACCAGCAGCAACAGTACCAGCAGCAACAGTACCAGCAGCACCAGCAGCAACAGTACCAGCAGCAACAGTACCAGCAGCAACAGTACAGCAGCACCAGCAGCAACAGTACCAGCAGCAACAGTACCAGCAGCAACAGTACCAGCAGCAACAGTACCAGCAGCACCAGCAGCAACAGTACCAGCAGCAACAGTACCAGCAGCAACAGTACCAGCAGCAACAGTACCAGCAGCACCAGCAGCAACAGTACCAGCAGCAACAGTACCAGCAGCAACAGTACCAGCAGCACATACCAGCAGCAACAGTACCAGCAGCAACAGTACCAGCAGCAACAGTACCAGCAGCCACAGTACCAGCAGCAACAGTACCAGCAGCAACAGTACCAGCAGCAACAGTACCAGCAGCACCAGCAGCAACAGTACCAGCAGCAACAGTACCAGCAGCAACAGTACCAGCAGCAACAGTACCAGCAGCACCAGCAGCAACAGTACCAGCAGCAACAGTACCAGCAGCAACAGTACCAGCAGCACCAGCAGCAACAGTACCAGCAGCAACAGTACCAGTACCAGCAACAGTACCAGCAGCAACAGTACCAGCAGCAACAGTACCAGCAGCAACAGTACCAGCAGCACCAGCAGCAACAGTACCAGCAGCAACAGTACCAGCAGCAACAGTACCAGCAGCACCAGCAGCAACAGTACCAGCAGCACCAGCAGCAACAGTACCAGCAGCAACAGTACCAGCAGCACCAGCAGCAACAGTACCAGCAGCAACAGTACCAGCAGCAACAGTACCAGCAGCACCAGCAGCAACAGTACCAGCAGCAACAGTACCAGCAGCAACAGTACCAGCAGCACCAGCAGCAACAGTACCAGCAGCAACAGTACCAGCAGCACCAGCAGCAACAGTACCAGCAGCAACAGTACCAGCAGCATCAGCAGCAACAGTACCAGCAGCAACAGTACCAGCAGCACCAGCAGCAACAGTACCAGCAGCAACAGTACAAGCAGCAACAGTACCAGAAGCACCAGGCACCACAGCAGCAGAAGACAGGTGCTGTTGAGAGGTGAGGGGAGATGGCGGGGCGTTCCCACTGCTGTGCTGCCTCAAGCTGCTGCTGGTGCTGCCAGAAGAGTGGCAGCTGACGGCCCTCCCACTGTCCTCCACCTTCTGATAGCTACGAATCATCCCACCGTTCATCAACCCATTGGGGGAGCAGATGAAAGAGGAGAGATTGAGGATGCTGTGAGCCGGGGACGAGGAGACAGTGTGTGTGTGAGCGAGCTCATCCCTCCTGCCGCTCGCAGTGATGCTTCCCCTGCCTTCACTACCCTCCCAATCTCCACCTCCCCTGCCTTGGCTGACCCAATCTCCAACTGCCCTGCCTTGACTGTCCCATTCACCAGCTGCACTGCTTTGGCTGACCCATTCCTCAGCTGCCCTACCTGCTGTGGCACCCCAGTCACCAGCTGCATCAGTAACGTTGCTGCGAGTGCGGTTCAGCTCTCTTCTGTGCAGTGGACTCATTCTGCTGCTGCTACTGCCGCTGCCAGGTACGCACTCAATAAGAGAGGCGAGTAAAGAGGAGGAGAAGAGGGGGGATGGCGTAGAAGGGGTGGAAGGGAGGGGTGGGTCATGTCGCGCAGAAGGAGCTTCAGCAGAAGAAGACGAAGATTGAGCCGCAGCAGTAGCAGCAGTAGTAGCAGCAGCAGTAGACGAGGGGATTGCAGCAACTACAGGCACAGCAGGATTGAATGAAGGTGGAAGGGAAGGAACAGTGGCAGAGACAGAGGGAACTGCATGGGGGGCACCAGCAGCAGCAGGACTAGAGGTGGAGGAAGAAGGGGAGGGCATTGGGGAAGCGTGGTAGCCTCGATGCTGCCGCTCCTGATGGTGGCGATACTCCCGGCGGTAGTGCGGGCTCCTGGTGGAAAACAATGAAGAGGTGAAAGAGCAGGAACAGGAGAAGCAGATTGGTCGAAGAACGAGGGCCATGGTGGGGGGGCTTGCAGTCAGGATGGCAGCAGGGCGATCAGCAATGATGGGAACTTCTGAGGGGAAATGAAGCTTGAATGAATTGAAAAAAGGGGAATGGGGAGTGGGGGCGGCTGAGAGCAGCAGGTAGTAGTTGGACAGACATGATATCTGTATGGCAAGTACGATAAGTACGATAATTATGATCAGTGTGATTGCTATATAATAGACATGTCAAATTGCCCCACATCCCTGATTTTGCCCTCCCCACCCACCTTTGATGGGCCCATACTGAAACCCGCTCCGCTCGGCTCCGCGCTTGCACGTGTTGCTGCCCTTCTGCCTGATGCTGCCGCTGCTGCTGCCACTGCTGCTGCCACTGCTGAGTCCGCCCCTCCTGCCCTTCCTGCTTCTCCTGGCCCCCCAGCCCTTGTTCCTGCCCCTGCTTTGCACCCTCCATCCTCTCCTGCCCGATGCCTTCTTTCTGCTCTGCCTGCTGCTCCCCTCGATCCTCCACTCGCTGCTGCCCTTGCTGCTGCCCTTGCTGCTGCCCTTGCTGCTGCCTTTGCTGCTGCCCTTGCTGCTGCCTTTGCTGCTGCCCTTGCTGCTGCTTCTCCCAGTCACGGCTTGCCTCCTGCCTGTCTTGATGCCTCTTCCTCTCCCCTTCCCCTACCACCGCCCCCGCTTCTCCCTCTCCTCCTCCACTGTCCCAATCTCCATCCCCACCTCCTCCCACACTCGCCCCAATCCCCTCTCTCCCCTTACCCTTCCCCACTAACTTCCCATCCTCTCCTTCCACCTTACCACTCACCTCCACCCCCGCCCCCATCCCCATCCCCATCCCAACGCCCACCCCCACCCCCCTCTCCTCCAGCCTTTTCTCAGCTTCCCTTAACATTCTCTCCGTCCACTCACACCTCCTCTCCGCATCTCTCCTCTTCCTCTCAGCCTCCTCCCTCCCTCTCTCCACCACACCCAGCATCACCATCACCTCACTCCTCTTCCTCCTCTCCTCTTCCCTTCTCTCCACCCACTCCCTCCGTTCTTCCGCCACCCTCCCCAGAACCGCACTCAACTCCTTTGTAAGCTCCTCTTTTTCCTCCAAACTCCTCCGAAGCTCGTCCTGAGACCTCACCCATCGTGCCTCCACCTCCTCCAATCTCCTCACTAGCCGCTCCCTCTCTGCTCTTGCAGCCAATATCGCAGCATCCTTTAAAGAGGACGAGCTTGAGCAGGAGGAGGAGGAGGGAAGCCCAAACGAAGAGGAGGACGAACGGGTTAAAGGATGTGACGTGGCACTGCTACTCCCGAAGCTCCCTGATTCGAGTACATCTGATATTATCACATTTCTTAACATCATCTGTGCCTGTGCCAACAGAGCCTGTGCATCTATGGTCGCCTGCCTGTTCCCTCCTGCTGCTGCCACAGCCGCTGCTGCAGCCTTCATCAAATCACACACCTCTACAGCTGCCCTTTCTGCTCCTGCTATTCCTGCTGCCACCCCTGCTGCTGCAATTCCTCTCTCGCTCGCTCCTCTAGTCCCTCTCTCGCCCTCTGTCCCCACTGCTCCCGTGCCCTTGCACTGTGCCACCGCACTGCTGCTGCTGCTGCTGCTGCTGATCCGTGCAGCATCCGGTGAGGACAGTTGCAAGGACCGCAGATCCACCAAAACTCGTGGCGTGCTGCTGCCTGACCGAGACTCCCCGCACTCATGCTGCTGCTTCTCGTGCTGCTGAAGTTGACAATGCTGCTGCTGCTGCCGCTGTGGTTGCTGGACTTGACAGGGCAGCTGCTGTCTGTGTCTCAACATCAGCTGTGCCTCCTCCACCTGCAGTGATCTCACCTCATCCAGTTCTCGCCGCAACTCCCCCAACTCTCGCATCAGCTCGTCCCTTTCTCGCCTCGCCTCATCCCTCTCCCTCTGCACCACCTGCACCTCTCCCACCTGCACTGATCTCACCTCATCCATCTCACGCCTCACCTCATTCACCTCTCGCCTTGCCTCATCCCTCTCGCTCTGCAGCACTTGAACCTCCTCCATTTGCACTGTCCTCGCATCATTCACCTCTCGCCTCAGCTCATCCCTCTCGCTCTTAGCAGCAGCAGCCGCTGCATCCACTGTCCTCCTCTCCGCCTCTGCTGCCTGCAGTGCAGCTGTGAAATTCATCTGCTCCCCCAGCTCAGCCCTGAGGTCGACTGCCTGTTGCGTCAGCACTGCCGCCTCCTCTGCACCGAGTGGGGTTGGGGGGAAGGGAGGGGGGGTTGGTGAGGGCAGTGGAAGCGGGAGAAAATGTCGGAGAAGGGGAACGGAGAAGACATAAATGTGTCAATATTGTCTGACTCCCACCTCCCACCTCCACCTCCACTTCCCACCTCTCACCTCTCACCTCGCTCACCCCCCACCTCTCAACTCTCACCCCTCTCACCTCTCAGCGTTTGCTTCTCTTGCTCGCATGCTGCCACCCGCTCCTCCGCCCGCCTCAGCTCGTCAGCCACACGTGTCACCTCCCTATTCGCCGCCGCCCTCCCCTCCCTCTCCGCCTCCGCCTGCTCCCCCAGCTCCGCCACTCGCCCCTCCATCGCCGCCACCTCTGCCTTGAGCTGCGTCCGCTGCGCTGTCGCCGCCGCTGCTGCTTCCGCTACTGCTGCTCTCGCTGCTGCTGTTTCCGCTTCTGCTGCCGCTTTTGCTGCCGTCGCCGCTGCCTTGTCCGACGCCTCAACAGATGCAGCCTCAAATTCCAGTCGCGCCTGCTGTGCTGCTGCCGCCGCCTCTCGCGCTTCCTGACGGAGCAGCGCCAGATTCTGTTCAAACGAGGCGCGCTCCGTCAGCAGTTGCTGCTGCAACGCCGCAATCAGCTGCGCCGCCTCTGCGAGATTGGATTCCCGCGCATTTGGTGGCCAGACGGGCGCGACTCGCAGGGAGATGGATTCCCGCGCGATCAGGGGTGAGACGGGCGGGACGGGCGGGACAGGCAAGGCTTGAGGCGGCAGGAGACACGCTGGAGGAGGCGACGCGAGGAGGTTCGCCACGTGGAGCGAGGTCAGTGAGTCCTGAGACGGCTGGAAATGCGGGGAGGTGAGAAATTTGGGGGATTGGGCGCGATCCGATCTCCACTGCTGCTGCTGCTGCTGCTGCTGCTGCTGCTGCTGCTGCTGCTGCTGCTGCTGCTGTTTCTGCTGTTGCTGTTGTCGTTGAATCTGCTGTCGTATTCCGGCTAATTCCAAATGTGGCTGCTGCACCTGCTGTTGCGGCTGCTGCGGAAAATACTGCTGCCGCTGGTAACCCGCCTCCCCGCACTGCTGCGCGCAGCCCGCCTCGCCTCGCTGCTGCTGCCCGCCCTCAGCGCGCAACCCCTGCTGTGGCAACACGGGTAAATAACAGTAGTAATATTCTGAATAGAAGTATGAGAATTTTCTCTGAATTACCGCGCATGAGTTCAACGTAGCGCGGCGACGATGGGTCCAACGAATCTTGCCGCCGTTGATGTGAGCACACGCGGCTCGCGTTGCTCCTCAGGTGCTTCTGCTCGCGCGTCGTTGGAGTAGTCGAATCGCGCCACGTGCCCACCGAAAGAATCCTGCTCTCTCACTTCAACCCCGCCCGTGGATTTCTCTACAGGCGCTGCTGCTGCATCACTGCTAATGCCGCACGTGCCCATCGTCTCCGCCATCGCGCATCCTGGGAGCGACGGTTTCCGCGCATGCAGCGCGCAATCAGGGCGAGCGGATGGACTGCGGGCGGAAAACGGCGGGCGGACAACGGGCGATGGCGGAAGCGGGAAAACCATGGAGGGGCAACGGAACCAAGTACATGCCACGCGCCACATGTAAGGGTGCGTTCTTGGCCAGTGTCAGGCTCGCTGACACTAGGCTATCATCGATTTTGATTATTCCACATCATCATTGTTCAAATCTCTAACTTCACAGATACAGTAAGGAATAGGTTTGGTGGCAGAACATAGGTGCTCCAAACCAAAGCAAGAGGTCTAGTAACTAGTTCCTGCCACTAGTCGCGACACGAGTTCAGCCAGATACGGTGAATTTTGAACTGGAACAGGTCGCCCGATCAGCGGCGGTGCGCGATTCATGCGAAGACTTTGGAAGGTATGGCGGGAAGTTCGCGATTGAGTCGCCCAAAATGGTTACAGTTCTCCAGTGCTATTCCAATGAGCTTACGCACTGCTTAGTGGTAAAAATCTCTAAGCCTGTAAAAACATACAGAATCTAAACCACCTCACTGCACCTGAAGGTGTACTTATGAGAAGCAAAAACCACAAATCAACACAAAAAAAGCAACCGCTACCACAAGACGTGATAGTGGTAATCATTCTCAGCATATGGAAAATTGATTTTTCTGCTTCCATGCAGATGCATGCTCGCACAAGCCTGCATCCACCAGGCTACATGCAGGCGCAGGCGGGAATGGCAGGTGCGCACTGCAGGGAGAGGCCGCGGAGCCGCTGCACCACCTCGCACATGTCCGGGCGGCGGGCAGGCGTGTGGTGCCAGCAGCGCCGCATGAGGTCAGCCAGGGGGGGTGGGCACGAGGAGGGGATGTCTGGACGCAGGCCCTGGCGTGTGCAGGGGAGGATGGGATGGTGGATGGAGGTGGTGTAAGAGCAAGCAAGGCAGGCTTGACAGAAAGGCAAGCTGTAATAACTGAGCTATGAGAGACGTGGTCAGCCAAGGGGGCCGGGCACGACGAGGGGATGTCTGGACGCAGGCCCTGGCGTGTGCAGGGGAGGATGGGATGGTGGAGGTGGTGGTGTGAGAGGGAGCAAGGCATGCTTGAAGGAAAGGCCAGCTGAAATAGACGTACTGTATATCAAACAAACAGCATTTCCCACTCTCCACCACTCACCACCCATTTCTTATCCCCCCACTCCCCCCTCTCCCCACCCCCCCACCCCCCCTTCCTCCTCCCGCCAACATCATGCAGTTGACCCCCCCTCACCCTCACCTGGTTGACCATGCTGCAGACTTGCTCAGGCTTGAGTCCTTCAAAGGGGAACGGGTTACCACACGTGACAATCTCCCACAGCACGATGCCGTAGCTGTACACGTCCGCCATGTGGTCGTACGGCTGCTCCTTGAGCACCTGGTGTGTGGGACAGGGGAGGTGCAAGGGGCGAGGTTGAGTCATTGGCAGGGGAGCCGGTTACCACTCATGGCCATCTCACGATGCCGTAGCTGCACATGTCCCCCATGTGGTCGTACGGCTGCCCCTTGAGCACCTGGTGTTGGGGTCCAGGGCATTAGAAGAGGCATACATGGCGAAAGGGACCCGTTATCACACGTGGCCATCATCTCCCCACCACTTGGGGTTATCATACATCCCGTGCCATGTTGTCCGAATGTGCCTGTGCGGCACTTCATGGAGCTGTCCCCCCGGCTGCACTCAGCTCCATATTCATGCAACCATGCCTTGTCAACCATAACCACCTGGGCTTGCTTGCACCCATGTACCTCGGGATTGCATTCCACCATACCTCAGGCGCCATGCACATGCACCTCGCACCCATGTATCAGACCTGGGCATGCAACAAAGCCATAAGCCATACCTCGGGCGCCATGTAGCCGTAGGTGCCCGTGCGGCGCTTCATGGAGCAATCGCCCGGCTCCACCCTCGACACGCCGAAGTCTGCAATCTTCACCACCCTGCGCGTGGAGATGGTGACGTGGCAGGGAGATGGTGACGTGGCATGGAGATGGTGACATGGAGGCACAGACACAGAGCGGAAACAAAAGTTAGATAAGGTCACAAAAACAAGTAGGTGGGTGTGCGGAAATCAAAGAAGGTGGGGCAGGCGGGTGAGTGGCGGGAGGACAAGAGGCAGGGGGGCGAGAGGACGGTGGGAACGGGGAGGCGGATGGGAGAAGAGGAATTGCGCGGGCACCTGTGCTTTTGGTCGACCAGCAGGTTATCGGTCTTGAGGTCGGAATGTGCACAAGGCACGTGCGCGAGAGGTGGGTGGGAGGGAGCAGGGGGGTGAGGGAGGGAGCAGGGGGGTGAGGGAGGGAGCAGGGGGGTGAGGGAGGGAGCAGGGGGACACGCGAACGCACCTGTGCTTTTGGTCGAGCAGCAGGTTATCGGTCTTGAGGTCGCGATGCACTATGCTGCGCGCATGCAGGTAGCGCAGGCTGTATGCATGGGGAGGGGCGGAAGGAGGGCAGAAGGGGGAGGGAGAGGGAGAGAGGGAGAGAGGAAGAGATGGAGAGAGAGAGAGGGAGGGGGATCAAGTGATGCATGGTTGGGCAAAGAGAAAGGTTATTGGTCTTGGTGTTGCAGTGCACTATGCTGCGCACATGCAGGTACCGCAGGCTGTTGGGGCAAGGGTGGGGGGCGGAAAGGGGAACGGCGCAGGAAGGAGAGGGAGGGGAAGGGAAGGGAAGGGAGAGGGAGAGGGAGCGAACAGTGCTTGTTTGGCCGAAAAGAGAGATGGCGATGACAGGGACAATAACTACACCTAACTAATCTCTCAGCCACCCCCCCCGTGACTGTACGCCCATGCGCTGCCAGCGCGCTCGCATTCCCTCCTCTTTCTTGTCTCGCATCGCACCATCCCACCACGCCTGCGCCTATTCACGCCCGACGCCCCAACCCCATGCCGCACACCCTTTACTACACAACGTGTGTACGTACGTACCCTTCCGCGACTTGCAACGCCAGGTGCAACGCGCGTTTCAACGGCAGCCGCTTCTTCTGCCTGCTCTGCTTCGCTAAGAGCTGCTTCAACGTTCCGCCTGGGAGAAACTCCAACACTACACAGCAGAAGTTTCTTCCCACGCGTAACTGCCCGTGGTGTTCCTCCGCCGTCGATGTCAGATCGTACGACTCCTGTCCGCCGATGATCGCGCCCACGAACTCGCAAATGTTCTTATGTCGAAGCTTGCTCCAAACGAGCACCTCTTGCGCAAACACATCCCGAAGAAATGCCAAATCCGCGGAGTTTTTTTCCGCCATCGCCTCGGGCTTCCCCCAAACAACCTTACCCGCGCCATCGTTTTCCCCGCGCCCGGCCTCCCCCGCAATTTTACCAACCCCCGCGAGCGCAACCGCAACCGCCCCCGCTTCCGCCTCCGCATCCGCGGCTGCCCCCCCCGCGCCACCAGCTTTTCCGCCATTTCGCGCGCCGATGATTCTCCCCGTTGCCGCAACCGCCGCCGCCGCACGTGCGCCCCCGTGCACGCTCTCCCCCTCCCAGTTGAGAAGCTTCACGGCAACGTCGCGCCCCTTGTACTGCCCGCGATGCACGGTACCGAACGAGCCGCGTGCGACGAAGTTGCGAATCACCAGCTGCGACGCGTCCATCTGCCACCGCGGCGGACGAACGCGCGCGCCGCCGCCGCCGCCGACGCAGCCGACACCGCAGCCGCCGCGAGGAGTGGAAGGCTCGCAATGCGTGGAAAAATCGCTCGGCGTGGGAAGGTTGCTCTGAGTGACGGCGTCTCGCAGAGGCGTGGTCGCGTAGGCTCGCGGCATGGAGGCGTTTCGTGGCGCTGCATCCGCATTGCGCGGAGAGGCTCGCGAAGATTCCGGAACGGCATCGAGGCGCGCGGGCCCCGCCCATCCGGGCCACCATCGCGCGGAGCCCCCCCCGGTAACAGGCCGCGCGCGTAAATCGGCGCCGCCTGCCGCCTCGCAGCGCGCGCCGCCGTCACTGTCATCGTCGTTGTCGCCATCTTGCTCGTCCGTCACCTCCTCACCTTCCATCTGTATCCGCTCCAGAATCTCCGCCGCGCCGCAGTTGCTCAGTCGTCGCTGAAGCACTTTCACCGCGCCAATCGCGTGGTGCTCTAACGATCGCCTTCCATCGAGCCGCTGGGACGCTTTCTCCTCCAGCGCGCGTCGCACGCTCTCCCATCCCGTCTCGCCAGGATTTTCTATGCACGACATCGAGTCTGCTTCTAACGGGGCATAACACCCTGGTTGTTGTTCGCGTAACGGTGCTAAAAGGGCTGAAGTCGACTCTAACGGAATGCGCTCCGTGGCCGGTTCGGAAGCTTCCTCTGACGGACTGGCACCGCTCATTTGGCGACGATCGCGACAGCTGTCATCGCAAGGTGACGACGCTTCCGCGAATAAGCAATGCCCTGATGACACTGGCTGAACTAATCCGTTATGCTCGCCACGTGGCGACACGGAGACACAATGCTCGCTGCCAGCGGGATTCTCATCGCCACGTGGCTCAGCCGAGTCAAGCGAGTCAACGCATGTCTCGCGGTGAAAGAGTTGACCCATCCCTTCGTGTTGAAACGCGTCACCGGAAGCCGCGCCATGAGAAGAAACTCTGCTAACGCTGCCTAAGCTAGTCGCCTCGAAAGTATCTTGGGACGAAGCACCCGAAACATGCGACGTGCGTGAGTCGTCACTGGATGGCGTCGCGTTTAACGCGGACTCGTCGGCTGTAATTAAGGCAGTTAGACTTGAACTAAAGTTGTTGTCAGTGTGCTTGATGCCGCCATTGCCGTCAATTGCGGAGACTGGACTGTGCTGTATCGTAATGAGGCGGCATGGGGCTGCAAGAACAGCTGCTTCACGTACGCCAAGGCAGCGAGAACTATCAAAAGCGATGGCTGCAGCCATGGCGGTCGTACTTCGCTATCAGACGTATTGGTGTAATCCCGCGACCTGTGCTCGTACATATCACGCAGCTGCTACTGCCATTTTGAGGGCGTGTCCAGCGCGTACATTTACAGTTCATAAACCCATTCAGTTACCACATTTCCTATTGTAACACTGCATTTTACAAAAAGGTTGGACACGATCAGCTTCCGTTCACAAGACGGCACGCCCGCTGCGCGTACGACGAATCGTCTAACACACGTTACTGGAATCAGTGTGCGCGCGAACAAGGGTACAGCATTGCGTCCTGCCCGCTACAGTAATTTTCGTTCAAGCGTGGAATTTTCGCTTGTGCGTGAATTTCTGTGCGATGATAGACGAGGCAACCAGTTACCTCGTTTTCCACGAACTGTAGAAATTTGTGTGCAGAGGGTTGTGTCCGCGCGCTGGAAGGCCCAATCCTTCGGACTCGACTCACCTTATATTCGTTTTTTGGTACAGTGAGTTTTTTTGAGCCGGGAAACGTGTGAAGGTACTAATATTCCCAAAATGTACGCGCTGGACACGCCCTGAAGGAACAAACAAACGAGGAAATTTGGGAGGGACAAGGGGGGGAGGAGCATTGGGGAAGGGAAAGTCACACACAAAATTCTGGAACCCCACAAGCTTGTGGCATTGGGAGCCCCAAGCTTGAAGGAAGAAATGCTGCTCACTGTTGGCTACCATGTGGATGTAAATGGAGGGCTTTGGTTCATTTGGAATAACGTTTTTTGGGAGGAATCTGTCCCTTAGTCTTTAAGGGGCGGAGAGCGGTCCAGTATATACTTTTGTAAGATTTACTGTGGTTATATGTGGTGCTAATCAGAGTTTATCAACAATTCTCCAAAGAAGACATTACATGAAAACTGCCCCTCCCCCAGTCTCCGAAAAGACATCTCCCTAATTGGGGTTTGTTCTTGGCCTGTGTCAGGCAGGCTGACATGAAGCTGTGAAGGGTTTGTATTTGATCGATGATGACGTGGAACGATCGGAGCTGTCGATAGCCTTGTGCCAGGAAACTTGACACAGGCCAAGAACACACCCTTACCGTATGTTGTGTCACATTCGCACGAGAATGGGATGGAACGGAATTGGATGGTCGAATGAAAGTTCGCCTTTGGTTTGGGCTATACCTCAATGATTCGACCAAATTTGACGAATAATTCATGCTGCTTTGTACAGCAGGGATGGGAAACCCGTCCTTTCCAGCCAACAAAAGGCAGACATTCAGCCGCCATAACGACCTACTGTCTGCCCCGTCTATCCGAGGAGCCAAGTTTTCGGCGGCGGCGGCGATCTCCCCTCTCATTTTGGAACTCTAGTCCAGTTCTGTACGCTCCCAGTACTTCAACCAACCAGTTCCGGTAAAACTATTCACTGGTGTCAAGGTTGCTGAGTGCCTGAGCCAGGGGGGACAGAGCAGTTGCTACCCCTACACGTACGGTGTAATTCGAGTCCATGCTGAAAAATCACCTTCTTCAACACCATCTCCCAATCACCCTCCACAGCCACGACTGAGGGAAAGCAACCAATCACACTCCACCTTGACTGCTGTGCTGGTTTTGGTTTTGGAAGCAGTACGAACCAGCGGCGTGGAGTGGCGCATGAATTGGTTCGACGAAACAGTGGTCACATTGGTTGCCACGTCCTTGCTTTTCAACAAAGGTCGATGTTAGTGGACGGTGGAATTTGCAAGTGTAGTGTGACACTAAAGAAAAAAAACAAATCTAACGGACAAACATTATTCTCAACCCTCACATGCATATGCAAGAAACACTGTGCCAAATTTAACGAAGCTGCTTGATAACATGTGTTAGGCCCATGAACAACACGGTGTTTCTTTCGTCTTCCCCTTCAACCCATCAATACAGTACCATACGAATGTTTCTTACATCAAATCCCTTGCAGCCTTACCTCTCTCTGATCACAACCTATTCAACTTACAGCAAACAACAAAGCCAGCAAGACAGCGCTTTTCAATTAGTCACAACTATCGCACCTTTTCATCCTCTATAAGCACGCGTTTGAGCACCTCATAACACATGAAGGAGATGCCAGCAGCAGGCATCATCTTGGCACAGGAAGGCACCACCCCTCGGTACAGCCCCTTGACTCCCTGCTCCCTCACTATGCTCCTCATGCACTGGAGCATTCCCGTGTATGCCACCCCACCCTGCCACCCGTTGCGCCCATTTGAAGCTGCAGCAGAGGGAAGGGCGAGAGAACGGGCAGACGGAAAAGAAGGTATTCGGATTCCAGGAATTACAAAGAGGCGAGGGAGAAAGACCATCACCTCTAGAGAGCACACGAAGGCACCAACCCCCACCAGTACAGCCAGGAAAAGAAGAAGACACTAAACTGGTGAAACCGCAGGCACGCCGTCAGGTGCATCAGGCTGGCAACTGAACCAACAGCAAGCATGAACTCTAAATGCCAGGAATCAAGTCACCCCGCCATATCCCCATCCATACATGTCGAAACAATCAGGCAAGAGCACTCAGCAGTGGACCCAATCGCGAGCGTCATCAGCAGCTCAATCTCCTCCCGTCCTCTCACCCCGCCTCCCCCCCCCCCAAGCCCTCCTATAGGCCGTGCACAAGTACAACACAAAGAAGGCATCACCTGAGAAGCCAACACCCAACTGAGAGCTACCCAGTACCACATGCTTACATGTTTCCGGGCAACTTCCAGTGGGAATGTCGAGGCAGCAGCAAAGCACCCCGCAGTGGAGCCAATCACGAGCGTCATCAGCGGCTCAATCTCCTCATGGCCTCTCGCCTTCCTATACGCCGTGCACAGCGTGTCATACGCGTAGAAATTCGCGCCGGCGTACGGAATCATGCCCACCACGCTGGGCGCCACGCCGCGGTACAGCTCCCCCACGCCTTGCTCCGTGATGATCTTGTGAAACGCGTGCAGCACGCCGCGGTACATGTCGGGGTTCACCGTGAGGCGCGTCTTCACCAGCTCCAGCGGGTAGGTGAGGAGACAGGAGGCTATGCCGGCGGAGGAGCCGGCGATGGAGGAGATGGGGATGGGGAGCTGGCGCGGGATGATGGAGGGGCGGCCTTCTTTGGGTGTGAGGAAGCGTTTCACCGTGTCGTATGTGAGCATCTGTACAGGGTACGGGCGAAAGGAAAGGGGAGGGGGGGGGGGGTGGGGGTGCAGGAGGGAGAGGATGAAGTGGGAGAGGGAAGAGAGTGAGGGAGGGGAAGAGGAGGGGGGGGTGGAAGCACGGGAGTTGAGTTCAGGAAGGACGGGGGAAGCAAGGGGGAGGATGTGGAGTGGGCTGTTGCAGACTTCGCGTGGGGGGAGGCGGAGAGGGGGGAGGGGAGAAGGTGGGGTTGGGAAGAGGGGATGGAAGGGTAATGGAGAGTGGGTGTTATATGGGGCACGAGGGCACGCTGCAGGGGGGGCTGTCCGCACGAGAGGCAGGTTCAGTGCAACGGGGTCAGTACTCCGCAATGATAAAACCAAGGGAGAGGAAGACTTGCAGAAACGAGCCGCGATGAATGCAGTTACAAGATGCGTTGCTGGAGGCTTTTCAGGACCTGCTCTTCTCTAATCCTCTCTTCTTTTCTCTAATCCCCCCTCTCCTCTTTCCTATCCCAAAGCAACATTCCTGCTTTCGCACACACTAGGAAGAATCACTCGAATTGCCAAAAAATTACCCCTTCGTCTCTTCTCATCCCGCTTCCTCTCTCCCCTTCCTCCCCTCTCCCCCCTCCTCGCCACACCCCAATCAAGCAGCCGCGGAACAGCCCCGTTCGCAGCATTCAACTGCGACTCTCATTCCGTTAACCCCCCTCAACGTACTCTCCGCCTTCCCCCAACTCGCCTTCCCCCAACCCACCTCCCCCCTCTCCTCATTGCCCCTCGCCGCACCTCGACGGCCTTGCTGGGCGCGACGCGCAGCACGTTGATGGCGTTGCCGCTTCGTCTCTCCCCATCCCACCCTTACCCGTCTCCCCCACTCCCTTCCCTCTTTCCCATGGTCTCCTCGTTCATCTCCCGCGCACCTCGATGGCCTTGCTGGGCGCGACGCGCAGCACGTTGATGGCGTTGCCGCGGAACAGCCCCATCCACCCCTCCGTTCGCAGCACCCACTGGAACACAGCTGTCATGCTCCCATTGGCCGCCAGCCCGCCCCGCCCGCACATCATGTGCGTCCGAATCGTCTCCAGTGGCGCCGTCGCTGGCGGGCGGAAGGGGGAGGGGAAACAGACGGAACGGGGAAGTCGGGAAAGCGAGGGGAGAAGACGGGAGTGGGTGTGGGGGAGATGGGAAGGGAACAGGCCGAATGGGGATGGGAAGGGGGACGAAGGTCTAGAAAGAATTCGTGGGGAGGGGAGGGATGGGAGGGGTGGGGAAGGGGAGTGATTGGGGAAAAACGGGATTTGCAAAAGGGGAGACGGGCACGGGGAATGCGGAGAGTGAAAGCAACAGGGGGTTGGCGCAATGGCGCATGGTAGCCGCGACGAGCACGACGAGACTGATTCCGTCCCGCGAGCAGCCCAATATGCGCCAAATCCCGCATACGCTTTTCCGCCCATGCGCATTCGCCCCAAACCCCCGCTACTTCCGCCCCTGCTCTCAGCACCCACCTGTTCGCGAAACTCGCCAACACCCACCTGTTCGCGACACGCCACCGGCGACGGCGCCGCTGACCAGCCGACTAACAGCCGGACTCAGCCGAACTTTGCGCTCCGCCCTCCGCTCCGCCTTCGCCTCACTCTTCCCCATTCCGACCGCTACACCCGCTTTTGCCAGTTCCGCCGTCACGCGCCCCATCAGCGCGCCGAGCGCGAGCTTCAGCTCCGCCACCTCCCGCCACTCGCCCGCGCTCGTCAGGTCCGTCGCAGCATGTCGCGCCCCCGTCGCACTCGTCGCATGTCGCGCGCGCGACAGCAGCTCGTGCAAGTGGAAGTCGATGTCGAACTCCACGTCGTCGCCGCGCAGCACGCCGGGCGACCCCGACGGCGTCGCTGTCGCCGAAGCTGTCGCAGTCGCAGTCCCAGCCGCAGTCGCAGACGCGAACGCACGAGAATGCACTGCGACAGCGGAGCCAGCGCTATGACGGTGGGAAGCTTTCGCCTCATTTTGCCATGGCAGCTGAAACTGTTGCTGCGGCTGCTGCTGGTCGTGTTGCGATAATGACCGTTTCGCGAAATCCACTCGCGACGTCGCAGTTTCGGCGAGCTCGCCCGCGCGAGACAGTCTCTCCTTGCGGCGTCTGGCCGGCAGCGGCTCGGCGTGAGTGGAGGCGGGCAGCCATTGGTCGGCCGGCAGGTGCAGGCCCAGCAGACCGCTGGTGTGCGTCGTCGCCGCGTACAGCGGGAGACGAATTTCTGTATTATTAGTGGCTGTGGAGGGGGTTGGGAGAGAGCTTGACGCTGACGCGTCTAGGGATGAGGAGGCTGACGTGGACCAATGGCGATCGGTTGACGCGGTCGTGTCTGCGGCGGGCCTGAGGCTGGCCATTGGCGGAAAACTCAACTTTAATGTCCCTGGAAATCTAGGAAAAGCCTCACAACTACGGCGACAGTAAATGATAACAAGCTCGACAGACTGTAACGCGGAAGGATGACGATAAGGTGGCGACAGATGGCGGCCGCTGTGGTAGGGGTACAGAAACCCACAACCCCGCGCGTGAGGTGCGGCTGCGGCCCGATCTGATCGTTGTGCCTCTCTTGCGAGGAGAGGAAAAGAAAGGTTCAAACGGCGGGAGGCAGGTTCCCACCGCATCACGGGCTTGTGATGTGCCGAAGGACGATCTGGGCTGTGTGAGTCGGTTCGGAACGATTGGAATGGAAGCCTCTCCTGCTAGAGGAGCTGAGATGTAATTTGGCTCGCCAGAACTTCACAACTGCCAATGGGCAAACTCGCGTACTAAGAGCGTGAGGGTTGGGAATGCGTCTCCTTTGGGCAGGTTGACCTTATCGAAATTTAAAGCCGGCCACGTCATCCTACCTCTAGACCTTTTGTGTCGAAAGTTCAAACAACTCCACTCAGGCTGGGACGTGTCAGGGGCGCCGCCAAGCCAAGCACACAAATATCCCACCTGACACCATTCCTCCTTTGTCCACGGCCATGCGAAGCGCATCTCTGTTACTGAGACAGCAAGCGCCGCGAAGCCACCTATATCGTTAGATTTTTATTACTGTAAGGAAAAATCATTTTCCTTACTTCGCGTCCCTACTCAGCGCGTACACCACTGTTCCCGCCAACAACTTCCAACAGTGCACCGTTGCCACTCGCGGCACTCGCCTCGACTACTGTTCCCGCCACTGTTCACGGTTCGGTTGGTAACCCATGCTCCGGACCTCCGCCTCGACAATTCCCAGCCTCGGCGCTAGGCCCGTAGTGCACCCCCATTTTCACACATTATTGTTACCACTTTAGCTTCGCTATATATTCTTCGCTCATGCCTTTGCCAGGGCTGATTTTATCAGGGTAATTACCCTGATTTCAGGGTGATTTCAGGCTTTCCACTTCGTGGAGACTGAAATTTCAGAGTTATTGAATTTCCAGCCCTGATCCAATCAGAGTAATCCCTGATTTTGAGTACAGTGTAACAGACTAGGCTGTTAGTGGACCCTGACTTAACAGAGTATCGACTGTGTGGACCCTGACTTATCGAGAGGAAGTTTCTCGGAAGTTTCCTTCCGGTGACCCCGCCTTGGATTGATCGCAGTGATCCCCCCACATGTCCTCCCGTGTCCGGCGGTTCCGTCCGGCTCATTGTCAGGTCTTCACCTCCCCTCGTTCTCTACGAACTTGGTGAGTACCGCTGCCCTCCAGGATGCGATGGTCACTACCACCACTCCTGGGGGTCAGCGTGTGTCGATCTGCACGTGAACACGGACGGCCAGGGTCAAGTCTGTACACACTGGCTACCGAGCCTCCTCAGGTAGCTGCGTCTGCTCAGGTGTCCGCGTCAGGTCAGGTAGCACCCCCTTGCTCGTGTCGCCTCTTGTCGCACCAGACTCTTCTGTGGCACCACCGCCTGGGTCACCCCTCCCTGCCACGCCTTCGTGGCATGCACTCCCGTCTCCTTGTCTCTGGTCTTCCCAGGTCTCTGCCTCCCCTCCCGCCCTCGCCTGCTCCACCCTTCCTTTCTTGCGTCGAGGGGCGGCAGCGCGCCGCTCCTCACTCCTCCTCGTTTCCCCCCACGATTGATCCCCTGCAGACTCTCCACATGGACGTGTGGGGCCCAGTCTGCGTCAGTGGACAGGGCTGCGAGCGCTACTTTTTGCTGGTTGTTGACGACTACACTCGTTACACCACGGTCTTCCCCTTGCGCAGCAAGGGTCAGATTGTTGATGTCTTGATCCCTTGGATCTGCGCAGTCCGTCTCCAGCTCCGCGAGCGGTTTTGCTCGGACCTTCCTGTCCTGCGTCTGCACTCTGACAGAGGTGGTGAGCTCTCCTCTGACCTCTTGCGGGACGTGTGGAGGGCATTTTCGAGTCGTTCACGCTTCCGGACTCCCCTCAACAAAATGGGATTGCTGAGCGTCGCATTGGCTTAGTCATGGAGGTCGCTCGTACCTCCATGATCCATGCGGCTGCTCCCCATTTTCTGTGGCCGTTTGCGGTTCAGTACGCTGCGCATCAGCTCAACGTCTGGCCCCGTGTCTCCTTCCCGGAGACCTCGCCTACACTGCGGTTGACGGGAAAGGTTGGCGATGTGTTGGTGTTCCGTGTCTGGGGTTCTCGTGCCTTTGTTCGCGATACGTCCGCAGACAAGCTCTCCGCCCGCGCTATTCCCTACGTCTTCCTTGGCTTTCCCCCTGACGCGCCTGGCTGGCAGCTTTACCACCCCACCTTGCGCCGTGTCTTCCCTTTTCAGGACGTCACGTTTGACGAGGCGGTTCCCTTTTACCGTCTCTTTCCCTACCGCTCTGCCCCTCCCCCGCCCCCGCCGCTCTTCCTTGCTCCACGTCCCCCTCCGGTAGACCCCCTCCCCCCCCAAGGGTCCTGCTCCCTCAGGTGTGTCTCAGGTAGACCCTCTCCCTGGTACTGCGCCTGTTGAGGTAGCTGTCAGCTCAGGTGCTGCTCGAGGTGCTGCGTCTGGGGGTGCGGAGCCGGGGGTTGCGGAGTCTGAGGGTGCTGAGTCTGGGGGTGCTGAGCCTGGGGGTGAGGAGCCTGGGGGTGCTGAGCCTGCGGGTGTGGAGCTTGGGGGTGCTAAGTCTGAGGGTGTTGAGCTTGGGGGTGCTGGGTCGGAGGGTGCGGAGTCTAGGGGTGATGAGCCTCAGGGTGTTGCTTCGTCTGGAGGTCCTGCTGGTGCTTCGCGGAGATTGTCTCCGCAGCAGCTGCGTGAGTGTCTTGTTCGGCGCGCACGCCTTTGGAGTGGAGCTACTGGAGCTTGGGATGCTGGAGTTACTGCTGGGGCTGGTGGTATTGGAGGTACTGCGGCTACTGGTCCCGGAGGTGCTCGTACCAGGGGTACTGGAGCTGCCGGGACTGGTGGTGTTGGGTGCGCTGGAGCTGGAGACCCTACGGAGCCTGGAGCTGCTGGAGCTGGAGGCTCTGGCGCTGGTGGCGCTGGAGCTGGAGGAGCTGGAGCTGGAGGAGCTGGAGCTGGAGGAGCTGGAGCTGGAGGAGCTGGAGTTGGAGGCATTGGCGCGGGAGGCGCTGGAGCTGGTGGCAGTGACGTTGGAGGCGCTGGAGCTGGAGGAGCTGGAGCTGTTGACCCTGGAGACACTGTGCGGCCGCGACCGTACTTTGTTCCCCTGCTTCAGCAGGTTCTTGGTGTCCCGTCTTCTACTAGCCTTCTCCTCCCCTCCTGTGTCCACCGCCTGACCAGTTGCAGGTGCCGTTACAGCCGGCCTCCCCACCGCCTGCTTCTTCTCCATACACTGAGCAGTTCGGCGGTCTTGCAGAGCGTCGTGAGCCTGCGTCCGTCCTGTCGCATGTTCGCCCTGCTCGTTGCGTTCCTTGTTCGCGTCCTCCTCCTGTCCCCGGCACGCACGCTATGGTACTTCGTCCTTCCTATGTTCCACTGCGTGTTCCTCTACCTGCTCCTCTTGAGTCCTCTCTTCCTGAGGTGCCTGACCCTGAGTCTGACCGCGCTCGTCCTGCCAGTCCCACTGTCTCTCGTCTCCTTGCCACTGCTGTCACTGACCCTTCCTTTGAGTCTGCTGCTGCGTCTGCCCTCGTTGCAGAGCTGCTTGACTTTGCTGCTGCCTGTCGTCTAGACTACGCCACTGCTCTTGTTGCTGAGTCTGCGTCTGCCAGTCCTCCGTCTGTCGTAGGTGAGTGTGCTCTTGGCACAGACATCCTTGAGGATAGGCAGGAGGACTTTGAGTGTCATGCAGCTGCTGTACCTCGTTTCGCTTCCATGCTGCTTGCCCCTGAAGGAGACCCGGATGCACCAGACATCCCGACCCCGCGCTCTTACGCAGAGGCGATTACGGGTCCTTACTCCTCTCAGTGGCAGGCAGCCATGGATGTCGAGATGGCATTTTGGAAGTCCACAGGCACCTACGTCGTCGAGGTTCCCCCACCTGGGGCGAACACAGTCGATGGCAAATGGATTTTCAGGGTGAAGCGACCGCCGGGTTCTCCGCCTGCCTTCAAGGCACGTTACGTTGCTCGAGGCTTCAGTCAGCGACAGGGGGTTGACTACTTCCAGACCTTCTCCCCCACCCCAAAGATGACTACTCTTCGGGTGTTGCTGCACGTCGCTGCTCAGCGTGACTGCGAGTTGCACTCTCTGGACTTCAGCACAGCTTTCTTGCAGGGTAGCCTGCACGAGGAGATCTGGCTACGCCGCCCTCCTGGCTTCACTGGGTCAATTCCTGCAGGTACCCAGTGGAGCCTCTGGCGGCCAGTCTACGGTCTCCTCCAGGCACCTCGCGAGTGGCACGACACAATGAGGACTACACTTGCGGCTCTTGGGTTTGCTCCTTCTACTGCTGACCCGCCGCTGTTTCTACGCACCGACACCTTGCCGCCGCTGTTCTACGTCCTCGTCTGCGTCGACGACCTCGTCTTTGCCACTGCTGACACTGAGGCAATGACCCTTGTGAAGTCGGAGCTGCAGAGGAGACACACCTGCACTGACTTGGGTGAACTGCGCAACTATCTTGGCTTGCAGATCACCCGGGACAGAGCACGGCGCACCATCACCCTGACTCAGTCACACATGGTGCACCAGGTCCTTCAGCGCTTTGGCTTCCAATTCTCCTCGCCACAGCCCACTCCTCTGTCTACCGGCCACTCACTCTTAGCTCCACCTTCGGACGAGTCCGTAGAGCCGAGTGGTCCGTACCTAGAGCTTGTGGGTTGCCTCATGTACCTGATGACGTGCACACGACCTGACCTCGCGTACCCTCTCAGCCTTCCGGCTCGCTACATGGCTCCCGGCAGGCACCGAAAGGTGCACTGGGATGGTGCAAAGAAGGTACTACATTAGTTGTGCAGTACGTCAGGCATGGGGCTCGTGCTTGGAGGACGGGGTCCAGTTGTCCTCACTAGTCA